TGCAAGCCAGTGTGTTTTTTTTTTTCAAGAAAATTTTTAACAGTGTATGTGCACGGGCTAAATATCTATTTTAACATTAGCAGATGGTAAGTGTTATTCGCCTTCCTCAAGATCTTGCTTGAGTTGCCCATTGGTGAAGAGGCTCATAGAATTGCCACTCAGCTGTGTATTGGAAACAAGTGAACACAACTTAAGAGCAGCTTCAACTGATACCTCTATAATGCCCTTTTTTTTGCCCCGCCGCGGTGGTCTAGTGGCTAAGGTACTCGGCTGCTGACCCGCAGGTCGCGGGTTCAAATCCCGGCTGCGGCGGCTGCATTTCCGATGGAGGCGGAAATGTCGAGGCCCGTGTGCTCAGCTTTGGGTGCACGTTAAAGAACCCCAGGTGGTCAAAATTTCCGGAGCCCTCCACTACGGCGTCTCTCATAATCATATGGTGGTTTTGGGACGTTAAACCCCACAAATCAATCAATCAATCTATAATGCCCTTTTCAGGTGACGTGCGCTTTCTGTCAGAATCTTGCTATCTTGGCAGCAGATATCATGTGAAGAGCGTCCACCACATCAGCATTGATATGACTTACCAGATAAGTTTAGCCGAACCTATCATTTTTTTTCACGTTTGATTTTATTGTAAACTTCCTATAAAATGTAAACCTTCGTGTGGTGTGTGATTCATTGTTATGTATTTATTGTGGTATTTGAATTTACTTCTATTTCTTCTTGCAGAAATATGATGCTTAACGTATGCCTGTGCTGGCATTTCACTGCACTGGCTTAATGAAAACAACAGTCCTGCGCAACTTGAGTCCTTCACAATTGGATAAGGGGCCTTCTTTCTGCCATGTTGACAGAAACCGCCCTGTGCTGGGAATGCGACAATATTTTCCACGGAAGACGCAGAAAGACTTTGGTGTAGTATGCTGATCGGTTACTTTTGGCAGTGTTGTGGTGAAGTCAGCTTCTGTGTGTGCACATAGGTTACCTCAAAAAAAGAAAATAAAGCGTTTTTTGTGTTTGTCCACTTTCTTGTTACAAGCACCCAAACAGTGCTCTGCCAAAGAACTTTCGCCGCGCGTTCAGCGTCCGACAAGTATACTTGAGATAAATGTTCATTTCCACAAGGACTAACTGAAAGCATGTGCAGCTCGTCATCGGAGAGTAATTGTGAACACGCGAGAGAAACGGTCAAGATCAACCCCTGTTCTTTGTTGAGAAACTGATGGGAGTACGGTTGGTTTTCGAGGGAGTAACAGTTCAACAACGAAGGAGGAATGGGAGCAGCGATGCAATTCCTTGCTTAAAAGGGGAACGCTCATACCCACGTCGCTCTATTTTGGCTTCGAGTGTAAGGCTGACTACGATGTATACTAGCACACGTTTGTGTCGGATATGAACCTACTTTGTTGCTTTTTCTTTTTTTTGGCTTTGTTCAGTAATGTAACGAGTAATCTACCACCTGTCAGGGCATCTGTTATGCGAATTTAGGCATAAGTGTTTTAGGTTTATCGCGTATTGCTTACAAGTGTTTTCGTCCTGTTTGGCAGCGTTAAGCGAATATATAATTTGTATTATAGACTGTGCACTGCTTTATGTCATTTTGTAAGTTTTTACTTTATTTATTCACTTATATGTAAGCCTCAAACTCAGACGTTGTGAACTGTATGTTTTCCTTGCGATGCCTCAATTTTGCCGATCCATTTCTACTTGTTTTCGCACCTGTGTTCTACCGACTTCTGATGCCAAGAAAAATGGCTGGGGATATTGTCTAGTCGCTATATGGCAGGTTTTTTTTTTATTACGTCGGCATTTCCTTTTTCGTGTACCGTAAAAAATGCTTAATAACGCAGTACTCAATAATAGTAATATAACTGCCAGTTTGGAAAATAGGCATTTACATGCATTCGCAAGAAATTAGAAAAGGATTAAAATATAGGTTCAAATTACAGATCGTTAACCAGTGAAAGCTGAAACGCGCGTTTCCGGCGTTTAGCCGTGTGTAACATCCGACGGTGCACTGAAGCATTTCCAATTTATTGGTTACATGTTCATGCTTCCCATTGAGGTTAGACTTTTGCTTTGGGTTTACCATTGTGATTATGTCCCAAGCCACACATGATGTCTCGCATGATCACGGTAATAGACAAGTATATGTAATAAGCGGGTAAATGCGTTTCGCAATTGTCTAATCACAGTGGTTGTTTAGGAACCACAGGTGATCACGCATGTCACAGCCTTAGTGAAAGCGCTGATGAAAAAACTCCGGCGAAAAGCGAGCGTTTGAACGCACCCCCGTTATCAACAAGTTTACGCTGCTGTGCCCACAACGGCGCTTGTTCGGCGGGCGTCGTTGCGATGTTTGACATCTGGGGCCCTCTAAGCGGCGTCGTTCGCTGCATCCGTCCAACACCAGCGCTTTATGTCCATTCATGATTTAGCACGGCTTGAAAGGCTGCCGAATTGTCGGTACGCAGTTCCCGGTGGCACTCGGACTCCTGGTTCTCTTTTTTTTTGCCCGGACTGCACCATCGAACCGGTGAATGCTAGGCCTCTGATGTTTCCAGTGTCGGAGCTCTTTTAGAGTTGTTCGTGGCTTACTCATGTGGAATTTTCAGTAGAAATGGATGCGCGTCTGTTCGACGCCATGACTGCGATGCGTGCATGATGTCACTCACAACGCAGACAATGGTCCGCATGACAATAGCCCGTCTTACTGACGCTAAGAACGACGTAACTGATAGCAGAGTCAATGAAAGACACTCGTGACACCTACGCCGAACGGTTTTTCTTTGCTCGTAGCCATATACAGCTTGCGTTGTAAAAGTTTGACGGCCTTTTTTAACCTCTGGTTTGTGCTCATATATCAAGGTTACGTGATAGGAGCGCCAGGAATAATGTACGCATTTACGGCGAATCTGGTCTCCTGTGATCACAAAGCAGTAGGAAGATTACGGATGGTTTTTCGTTGCTCGTAGCTATATACTGCTTGCACTGTAAAAGTTTAATGGCGTTTCTTAATCTCTCATTTGTTCTCATATATCAAGGTTGCACAATAGGAGCGCCAATTACAATCTAGACATTTACCGCAAATCTAGTCTCTTGTGATCAGATAGCAGTAGGGAGAAGCACAAGCTAAAGTTTCTACGCTAATTTTTCCCATATACTTCGTGTAATCAATGCTGTGAAAATTAATAGCAACCAAACGGTTATTGATGCATTTCAAGAAAACCTTACTGCAAACACTGGTGATGAGAAAACTTGCCCTATGAACAGCACCTGTACGAGCGAGCAAACGCATTGTGATGAGGAGGGAAAAGCTTTGCAAAACGTCCCTTCCTAAATCGTTTTGATAATGGTGAGGCGGGTTCACTGATGATATGTTCCGCATCACGAATAATTGCAGTATTCTGTAAATATGTTCAGCGTCAGACGTTTTGGTGAATACGGACAAAAATATATCGTATAGACAAACACATTACTTTCCAACAATACACTGGTATGATTTATACCAGCAGCATCTGTAACAAGCTTTTCAATAAGCATTTTTTTCCTAAAAATGCTTTTTTTGTCTAGGCCTAACAAGAAGAAGAATTGGCCCTGGGAATCCCGGCAGTACGTATTTTCCTCTTTCTAAACCATTAGTTGCAAACTAAGCCTGCATACCCACAAATAGATGTCTCGAGAAAAAATGCAAGAAAACGCTGATCGTTCTTATTCTTCCTGCTCAGTTTATTTTAGAGAAAAAGTGAAGAAAATTTTGTTATGGGCGTAACCTAATTAGTAAAAATTACGAATAGTTCATTACTGTCAATAAAGATGTTATTCACGGTACAATCTTCATAAAATCTTGAAACATCTGTTGACTCGTCTTACCATATTGTGAATGTAATCTCTGGATGTTTGAAGTTCTGGTATCTTGATCAAACTTGTAGTCTAAATGACACTAACTGCTTGGAAGAGCTAATCTATAACTATTGTTCACCTAAGATGCAAATTCTTTCATTCATGGCTTTTACTTTTGAATATGACTTGCATTGTCTGGCACGTGGCTTGCTTACCTACAATATTAAACCAGATTTCCAATATGCAGCAGTCCATCAGTAATAACCTACAAGGAATTCACGTCGATTCAGTCACGTTGGCTGCAGTTAGCTTAAGTGCACGTATATCAAACCGTTTTTAGCCCTATCATGCACATCGCTTTCAGCCTGACCAATTTTGCAGCACATGCTTCAGTGGAACGTCCTCTAGCGTTCTAAATGTGGCGAATGTCCACTTCGCAGCATATAGTGCACTCAAAGAAAACTAATTCTTATCCCGCTTCGATAGTGTTTGCCCTTTAGTCAGAGGGAGCAGCCACAGGGACAACTGGTACGCCTCACACTTTGTTGATTCTTTTTTTTTCAAGTGTATATAAGAAACTAGCTACGAATTCCAGAAATGCTTATGTGGAATAGAAGAACAGCGTAATGCTATGTAGAAGAAGAAGACATTTATACGTTACCAATAGGTAAAGAAATTTGTAATGAGGAACATTTTGCCTTTGCCAAAATATGTTTGGAGTTCTTTCATTACGATACATTATTGAATTATGATATTCTTTGCAGCAAGTAGTTGGAATAATTACTTATACTTACCAATTACCATTTTATTATGAACAGATATATATACTCGTACAGCCGAATGGAAGCTCTTTTGAAATGGTGGTGCAACGCATACGTGGTTCCTCAACGAAATTCGTTACCTTTTATTGAATTGTTTTGTAGATCGCAGAAGTAACAAATTGATAGCTTTGCTAGCCCGTCCATGATGTCACAGCTATGCGCCAACGCTTCTTAAGCGTGAAAGATAAGGTAAGCATAACACGTAGCTTGATATTGTTAATATAATATTTCACACAACTTGTGCCGCTTTCCTAGTTTGGACTACTTGTCAGCTGACGCAAATTAGGAAGCAAAATGAATTAACGGTAGAATTTTATATTTCGCTGAATATTTTACAGGAAGTATACTACGACAACCAGGTAACTATTCATTTGTGTCTTACATGGTTTTTCACACGCGAGCTAACAAAATGGCTGAATATATTTGGCATAAAATTCATGCTTGAGGTAACATTCTGAGATTCTTCGTGTTATTACGCTAGTATTTTTTGTTTTGAGTTCCTCAGTGGTGTGTAGCATTTTTATGTGGGTATTTTATTCTTCTTTTTTTGCGATTGCGGACAGGAATATAGCTAGCAACAAGTTTGTAAAATCCGGAAAATGACTGCCTAAAAAAGATTGACGATGCATGACACTATAGTGTGCCAAAGCGTACACAAAGTGAAAGCTTCTTCACCTACCGAACATTGAATTTCTTTTGAGAATGTTTTTTCTACAAACTACTTCGTTCTGTACCTACACTACGGCTTGTCATGCAATGACACGTCGGTAGCATTTACCTATTCAAAAATTTATGTGCAACTGGTTTTTTTTCACCTCTCTAGTTAGATTGAGCATCATCCTTTTTTTGGATAGTGACTTATAGCATAAACCACACATAAATGCACGTTAAGGGCACAATGCTTTTTCTAGATCATAAGGTTAGACAATTTCGCTAAAAAATTTCATCTTTGCACTTTCATATTATTGTTAGTAGCTTGAGCCAGTATATTCGGCTGGCATATTGAAATGTAGGTACCACAAGCATCATGGGAAGATTAATTACTTACTTTGTATACCTAATTCACTCATGCGAAAATGCAACAATAAATATTAGGTGTCTTTTTTCCAACAACCGAAATGATATTCTATAAAATCCACAGCACCATAAATGTTGCTCCATAAACCTCACTAATTGCTGCGTTTCGAAACTATGTAAAGTCAGTGTATTGTCCACATTATGAGGAGAGGTTGATCAAGCACGTGCTACAGTTGCTATGGAAAAAATAATTTACGCCAAGGACAAACATTGCAAAATAGACACCCAACAGTAAACAGTTTCGGGTGATAGCAGCCAGCGCAGTTATGAGTAGTCAAGAAGCTCAACTCTGGGGAAGTGAGTTTAGCAAAAAGAGGGATGAGCCATTGTGAATGCGCAATGCCCTCACATGAACGCTTTAGCTCAAACACTGCTACCTTTCGGACTGGTTTCTAGCTGCCTAAAAGATCACAAACCACAAGTATGGTACAATGTTTACTCTAAACAATGAGCCAAGTGAAGAAAACTTCAGTCCTAGAATTTCTGTTCAGTTTGTTCATATCTTCAAAAATTCAATGTTCAACTTTAATGGTGTATGTAGCGATGTGGTATTATCAAAGGTTTTGTTTACAACATTCAAACGAAACTGTGTATCGAGAGATTCATTAGAGTTACTTAAATTAACTAGCATTGGTGATTTGGCAGCTACAATGCTCTTAACACTGCCTGGCTGTTGTATTATATTGAAAAAGCTGTAACCGTTCCACATGAACACATGAAATTATTAAATTCACACGAACAGCCGTATGGCTGTTCCTGGGAATTTAATAATTTCTTACGTTAGACCCAGTAGGGAAGTAATAACAGTGCTCTGAAAACTTTCCAACTAGCAGATACCCTGCGATTTTGCCACCAAGTCCTTGTATCAGATGGAATAAGACCTTCTTATTGTTCGCTCATGTCTTCTTGACCAGTCCTGTGTGTTTCACCACTGATACGCAGTTTGATATAACTAAGTATTATGACCTCGTTTGCACCTTAACGTAGTAACTACCGCCGCTGCTCTGGCAGTGACACTGTGGCTGCATGAATATTCACTATTTTATGCTCTTAGATTATGCTTTTACGCAATAGCTGCGTACGTCGTACGTCGAATATGAGTTTTCAAGTCCACGTATTTACCCACACAATGACAGCTACACATACGCTTGAGCCAATAGACTCGCACTACAGCCTAGCATCACAAGCGTGATGGACCATGATCCGGCATTCAGTGAACGTGGGTGGGTGCACGAGCGGGGCTACTTTATTGCAATAGTAAATATATGTTCACTTTCAGGCAATTTCTCGCCATCGCCTCATACATATATATATATATATATATATATATATATATATATATATATATATATATATATATATATATATATATATATATATATATATATATATATATATATATATAAATAAATAAATAAATAAATATATATATATATATACATATATATATATATATATATACATATATATATATATATATATATATATATATATATATATATATATATATATATATATATATATATATATATATATATATATATATATATAATGCAAGGGGGTTTAATAGCCACGACAGGTAATAGGTAGACAACCGGTACGGAAACAAATGCTCGGGCAGTCCAGCGTCTACAGATCGTGCACCCGCTCATGCTTCGCACTCAGTGATGGTCCCACTAGTCATTGCCTTGCGAATTCCCCTTTACAATGCCCCGGCGACAAAGACGAGCCATCCTGGCGACTCAAGGTGACGAGAGAACAGGAGAACGTAACAGGGCTTGAGGCGACTGACGTGTACGGTCTCACGACCAAGGTGGCGCTTGTCTGTGGACGGCTTGAGCGATTCAATCACATAGGTGACAGACGAAGGGTGCTGTATGACGAGGTAAGGGCCCGTTCTTCAGTGCAAACTTGGGAGTCAGTACAGGAGAGTGGAAAGGCAGTCGGAACCACACGAGAGAACCGACGGAGAAGGTATTCTGAACAAGATCATGGTCGTGGCGATCTTTTTGGAGGGCTTGGTTATCGGCTGTGAAGGACCGTGCAAACGGACGACACTCTTTGGCATGTTCGACCATTTCAGAAACTGGGCTGAACTCGGAGGCATCAAGATTGTATGTCAGATTTGTGTCGAGTGTGTTGCATGGGTCACGACCATATAAAAGAAAAATTTGAGAAAAGCCTGTCGTTGATTGAATCCCGTATTGTAGGCGTACGTCACGAAAGAAAGAACAACGTCCCAGTTGGAGTTGTCGGAATCATTATACATAGCATGTCTCTGAGGGTCCTGTTGAAACGTTCCGTTAGGGTGTTCGTCTGAGGGTGGTAGGCTGTTGATTTGCGGTGTACCGTACGGCGTGATTGTAGGAGCTGCTGCAGAACTTCGGATAAAAATACGTGATCTCTGTCACTTAGGAGCTCCCGTGGTGCACCATGACGAAGAACAAACTGGTGCAAGATGAAGATAAATGAATATATATATATATATATATATATATATATATATATATATATATATATATATATATATATATATATATATATATTGTAATGAATCAGAATAACGGACGCTCTGCTCTTACTGAAGAAGACCATGATGATCAGTGGCTATAGAAGTAGCTCGCGCACGCCGCTCGCCGGTAGCCAGACCTGCCTCATAAAGCACCTTTCGCCAAGCTGCGTCTGAACCTTTCTTGACGTACAACACCTCTATTTTAAGTGGTGGAGGAGCCGGGGTTCCCATAAACCTGGAACTTTGCAATTGGACGCTGACCTCAACGTTCACCATGACTGCTCCTGGCCCTTATCAAGCTGACCCACCGACGACAGTCTTCTGTACTGGCGTCCTTCCACAACGCGACCCACCGTTTTTTCGCGGCAACGACGAACGAGACGTCGAAGTCTGGCTCGTCGAGTACGAAATCGTAAGCGCTTCCAACAAATAGAACGCCTGCGACCAGCTCAGGAACGTGCGCTTTTACCTCGCTGATGTGGCCAGCCTCTGGTTCAAGAACCACGAAGGCGAAACCACCAACGCTCTTACATGTCGTTTCATTCGCCTGTTGTTGGAGCCAAACTGAAAAAGACCAAGAATAGGGTTTATCAGTTGTCTTGGCGATAATTTGATCATAAATGTTTAAAACAACCCATGTGCTTCTAATTAACTGCGGCATAACCTCCTCCAAGCATTGGTAACAGTAGTAGGGGGAATTAAATCACATCAAGAAGTTTTTATTAAACCAATAATTAAAAAGCATGCCGGCTAGTATGCATCTCCCTCGAACTGGAAAATTTTTATATATCCGGCACTACTCTATCATGGAATTTATTGCGACAATATTCCATTTCGTAGATTCTCTGTCACTAAGACCATCGCGTGCCACTTCACAGGCAGCTAAAGTGAATAACTTCCAATAATCTAATCTGACACTCTTTTCCAGGCGAACCTCGTCGAGGCCCAAGTAAATATTCATTTCAATTTTTGAACTATTTGTAACTCTGTTTATTACTGAAAGAGCAATATGCAAAGCCATATGATTTGAGTATGTGTAACCATTCCATGATCTGCAACGGCTGTAAATAGCTTGTAGTTGGATGTAGTAACGGAATTCTACCAAGGTATGAGTCCTACAAAGCAGCGAAGTTCAGCTAAGTCATTCTGACTCGCTCATTCTTCTATGACATTTAGCTTGCGCTAGTAAGCTAATTCCTGCAATTCCTGCCTGTTTGCACGTTGATAATATAAAATTCCTTGGCGCAATTGAATAAAAAACAACACAACTAAGCATTCCCTTGAAACCAGTGTACCCTGCATACACTGAATGTCTGTTTGCTAAAACTTCCCGTGGTTATTCCGCAAGAAACTTACACCACCGTGGCACCAGGTGGACTACCATTATCCTAATATCGGCTCTTTCAACCCCTGCACTAACCACTGGACTTCCACACACACAAAAAAAACATGCAGACAATAAAAAAGTTTGATATTATTTTTTATTTCGCTGTTTTCCTTCATGTGGAAGGAGACATGAAGGAAATAAACGTTGCAGAAGATAAAGTTTCTGCTTCACCTTCAGGGCAAGAGTTTTTAAAGTAGGTCGTCTCACGAACAGTAGGCGCTTTGTAAGAGCCCCTTTTTACGTATTTTTAACCGAAAGTTCAACTCGTATTCAATCAGCGATGGCTGAAACGAATGCCAAAATGGCAACTGCATCAACCAATTATGAAGCTAAGGTGCGAAGCATCATTCTTCTGGAAAGCGAGCAACTGTATCATTCAATTAGGCGGGAAAAAACGAAGTGATATCATAACTGATTCTGAAGCAATCTACAAGCAGTTTAGGACAACAGCTCATCGGCTACTTTTTTCGCAACACGAAGACTGGCATTCAGTTGGAGTTGTCAGTCATCATAACAATGACGAACAAAATTTTTCAGTAGAAAAAAAGGAAGATAGGTGACAATATAAGAAGAAATCCACAGACAAAACATATACTATTGATTGTTCCCACCAAGGATTTCAGGCAATGATCAGCCTTTACAAACTGACAACTCACTTGTGCAATGCCATGTGCACGCAAAAACAGTCACTGTTAAGTTTCACACCTTATAGTGCATGCAATTTACCTTTACTCTGCTGAGGCTCTCTGCATGTGTAATCTGCCACGTTTCTAGTTTGAAACACGTATCACTAGCAATGACTTTGGAAATAAAATAGCTTGTAATATTTTATGCCTGACTCCTTATCTTGCAGAAAAAAGGGTCCGATTTTCAGACCCTCTTCCGTCACTGCATCGCGAATTATCTGAGAGTGAGTATTAGGATGTAAGAGCACCCTCCAAAAGGCTACTTTTTGTTCGCATCTCTAATTTCGTTGAAAGATAATGCATGAACATTACAAATGAACATAACTTCATTAGGGTGTACTGATGTTTATGTTGTCAATTTTCCACTGTTTTAAAAAATATACGCGTTAATACGTGCATGTGACTCCTGCTCTACGCAGTTATGAAAAGAGTGTGAATATTTTGACCATTCAAAACTTTTTCCAGTTTTCAATTACTTTTTACCTTATTACGCGAAACTATATAGGAAGACACAACTATTTTTAGCCAAAGTTTAAATGTATGCCGTCACACGCGATGACAACGCGATCAAAGGCATGTTGCTAACTGTTGCCACCTGAATTGAGTCACACTTTTTTGAGTAATTATTATTTGCCTAATTAGGCCACCTTTATGAACACAATATAAACAACGACAATGGGCCAGAATTTCCAACAAGAAGGTTGTTCATAAGCTTGCAAAACGTCTGCTTTATACACTTTGAAGCTCTGTATGTGTTAAATTTTAGTATTTTTTGCTAACTTCATATACCCGCAAAATGAAAAAAATACAGCGTTACAGAGCCGCTTGCGCGCCAGTGCGCACGATGGTTCGACTGCTACTTAACATTCAGCGTATGAACGATCACAGAATTCGTTCTATTGTGCTGTCTCAACGGGACCGCAATACTGGTGGTGGCTTTGCAAGAAACACATTTTGATATCGGCCACAAAAGCCATAACCGCTATGACTACTTAAGGTCTTGAACTGCTTTGAAGGAGGCGTATACTTCGTGCGCGGAACGTTAGGAAGCATGAGAATTAGAGAGCACGTAGGCGGACCGGTATATTTGTCACATGGTACTTTTTTTATATATAGCGCACATAATCCGCCTAATCGAACGTTTTGCAAACCGACCAAAACCTTTCTCACTGAATTATTTTACCCATGTTAGTTCGTTGAAAAATTAGTTAATAAAGAAGCATGAATTAACAAATAACCAGAAAAAAATAGTCTGACTCACTCCAGGCTATACACTCAGGAAGAAGCATTTGGTCACGTCATCATTGCGTGTGTGAGCCTGTTTTTAAAATCTCACAAAAATAGCTAGAGAACCTTGTATACAGCGACAGAAATAAGTGGGTGAAGGCGTCTTTTGTTAGCAAAATAAGCAGCCCTGCTGCGCTACTTGCCAAATAAATTATTTATTCGGCGGACCCACTGTTTGTTTTACGCAAGCTTTATACAGATGTGCTTACTTTTTAGCCTCCAAATATTTGTGACAGCATTTCAGTGAGCTCAGTTAAAACAATGGCATACTGCACGTGCATGCCGCTTCGTTTAGTTCCCATTTTTTTGACGGGCGAAGTGCCTTAGGGGCTTAGCGTGTCGGCGTGGATCGTCCGTCGTCTGCTGCTGCTGTCGTGATGGTCGGTGTGCTTGAATACAGGAGAAAGGCCTCCTCTTTACTGGAGAGAGTTCGCTCTCTCTTATCACCAGCTCAGCGCTCGCCGCGTGGCGACAGGGAGTTTACGACACGCTCTGATTGTGGAAACGCTCCCTTGCCTGCGAGAAGCAACACACTGCACAACCGTTCACTGGCCGCCTGTACATATATGCACTGGATCTTGGCCTGCAACACATTGTTAGTGGGATGTCATTATTTTGGCAATGAATGGGCCTAATTTTAATTTTAGATGCCAAGTACGCTTTCAGTGCCATATTTCGGCACTATATACTAGAACACCAGGTGCTTTGACGTGACCAGCTATTGATAATTTTGATAATAATTTGGAGACAAGATGTTTAACAGATCAAATAGCCAAGACCACCACGGGCCAGCCAGAGTTATAACCAAATCACATAAAATTACGAAACCTGGCAACGCTGCTTTAGCCAACATAATGTGAACTCGAGATATAATGGGCTACAGAGTTTGTATTTTTGCGTGGAGTGGGATGCTGACAAAAACAGGAGAGTTCAGAATGGACTCAGACAAGTGTGTACTCGCAACTGAACAGTTTAATTAAAATAATCCATGAGCCTTAAACCATCAAAAAACAAAACAAACGTAAAAATGTATCAACCAAAAAGTCATTGATTTGAATAGAAAAGCTCACATACCGTGTCACCTAGCAAGACATTTGCTTAGAAGATATGCGAACGTTTTGTCCCACAGAGACACGAATAAATCACCGATGCATGCATCACTAATTTGTTTATTTTGAAATCCTTTCAATGCTACTGAGTTGAAGTAGTCCCTTCAACTGCTCCACCATTAGATAAACCTGCGTCTATAGCTTCCGCTTAAAAGGTTCTGCCTTGCTAAAGCATTGCACTTATTGTCTTCTTCTTGTTTGTTTGCGGTGACGTCTTTTTAAATGTATCGGGTGTCATCTGAGGAGGTCATAAAATGACACGACAAATTATGAGCCATTTTTCTGCAAACAAAAACCACAAGTGTGAGGGAAAGTGTTAGCTTCTCTCGGAAAAATATTGTTATCTGCAGAAGCCTGCCTTTTCATCGCAATGATAATTGAGTATTAGTGTTCTGTGGCTTTTATTATACTATAGGATAATTTAGAGATATACCAATCATTTCTAGCGGTTTGTGCGAGAAAGTGTCATTTTTTATGCCTGTAGTCCTTCTTCAGTGTCAAATATTTATTTTAATACATAATAACACGTCATAGCTATCATGCGTCTCAAAACCGAGCACGTCCGGCTGCAAAGCAACTCGTACTATAGAGTAGGATTTAATTCAGATTTTCATACAAGTTACCAAACGGAGGCTTTTTCAGCGTGCGAAGATATCTTTCAGCCCTAGAACTTTTAGCAATGGACCTGAATATAAATGCTACCACCGCATAATGGGAAGAACCCGGGTACTGTGAATTCTAAACAATCACGACGGCAAGAATAACTTACGAACTGACGAAGGTGGATCGCACTACCACAAACTAAATTTTGCATGTATAAGTAGTCGGTCAAGAGGCAGGAATGAAAGCTCTTCACACGATTCAGGCAAAATTGTGCAAGTGCATAGGCTATTACAATGAAAGATATTTTTTTCTTTATGCAGTATTCGCAGTTATACGCAAACCCACATCGCGGCACTAACATTCATGCCAACAGCTTCAGAAGTAAGACGTAGAAATTCGAATGGAATTTAAATTCATGGCATTTCAACTAAAGAGAGAAAGTGTGCTTTAGGTTAAAAACGTTTATTTTCCGCCTCGGCAGAACACTGGCTACCACTTCGGACTTTTAAGAATGATTTGCGTGTCTATAACAACCACCTTACAGTAAGAACGTTGGGAGAAACCAAAAGATCTTTATCGTTGGGTGTTAGTTATAGGCACGCAAAGCACCAGAATGGGTTCGAACTGATTGTCTGTGTAGGGTGCTCTCTGGCTGGCCTGAAGGTCATGGCTTCGTTCCTGGCGGAACTAATCGCATTTCGATGAGGGCGAAATGGTGGAGGGTCCTGTTACAGTACAATGCCAGTGTTACAATACGATACCTATTACAGTACGATACCAGTTGGTGAATATTTTTGTAGCCCTCTGCTAGCGGCATCTCTCATATACCTACCGTGGTTTTGGAACGTAATACTCGAGGCATTATTGATAATACTTTCTGCTCTATCAACCTATCGAGTACAAACAGCTCTTTTTTTCAGGCAGGTGTAAACTCATGTAAACATAACCTATTCAGCAATATAATTGTTTTTCTTGCAATATACGAGGGACGTATTTTTGTATTTTCACTCTCAAGATGGTTTTTTTTTTGTCTGCTTTTGCTACTGTGTGAAACTAAAACTATTTCTGTAGAATTTCTACGAGCCTCCATGACAGCTTTTTGATAACCGGATTGAAGAAATCTTATATATTGTGTTCCATTATCATCTTCCAGGAGAACCCTACGCAGGAATCGCGAATTGCTTCCGCTTTTTTTTATTAAATGAACATACGCGCGTTGACAACTCCCAAAGTACGCAAGATTTCCTTCTTAAATTCATTTTCAAGATTATTTAAGAGAAATGTGTAGCCGCAAACTTCGGGCAAGCTGACCACCCAGTCTTCCATGCCATTTACATAGGTCATTTCACGTATCAGCTGCGCGTTACTTTGCGCTTTCATTTGAATTCCGCCAGTAATGGATACTAGAACTGAGTAGTGAAATAAGGGAAAATATATTTAAGGCGAGTGCCGCACAACGTATGGTACTGTAGCGTACTGCAGCTTTAAAGCAGTAGCCCCGCCGTGGTGGTCTAGTGGCTAAGGTACTGGGCTGCTGACCCGCAGGTCGCGGGTTCGAATCCCGGCTGCGGCGGCAGCATTTCTGAAGGAGGCGGAAATGTTGTAGAACCGTTTGCTTAGATTTGAGTGCACGTTAAAGAACCCAGGTGGTCAAAATTTCCGGAGCCCTCCACTACGGTGTCTCTCATAATCATAGAGTGGTTTTGCAACGTTAAACCCCACATATCAAATCAATCAAGCTTTAAAGCAGTAAGTGCATGTTTAGTAAATTGTCTCTATAATACTCCAGGTCGCCTTCAAATATATGACTGCTGATCTTTTTGCTGAAATAAACAGTTGTTTATTTGATTTCACTTGATTAAATGACTTCAACACGCTGTCAATGTGTGAAGTGAATTATTTTCGCATGTTATATTGTACTTTCTAATTTTCAGGGCCAGGCCATCGGCTATCATGTAAGCATACGTCGAAGTTTAAAAATGTTTATGAATATGATTCATGTTCACATAAAAGGTTGTTTACCTGCTTACGTTTAGTACATACATTAGTACATACAGTTTTATATATCTTAGAAGAGAAGTTTTTATACCTAACAGTGACATAACTTTGGTTAAGTTATCCAAATTCGCTTTTTTTGTAATTTGAACAAAAGCAGTTTTACGTGACATACACTGCTTAGCTTCCTTTCTTTTCCGAATGCCGTTATTATCAGTATCTATA